CCTGTTCACATGCTCTGGGCCTGGTAGTTAGACCTGTCATCCCATACACTCCGGGATGAGGATGGGGGGAGCTGAGGCAGAAGGATCACAAGTTTAAGGCCAGCCTGAACTATAAAGTGAGTTCAAGGCTAGCCTGAGCAGCTTAGTGAGATCTCTGAAAATAAGAAGTGAAAATTGCTGCTGGGGTATGACACATTGGTTACTACTTGCTTATCATGTATGAAGCCCTAAGTTCAATCCCCAAGAGAGGAGGGGTGTGGGTAAAAGAAAAGAAGAAAGAAAGAACTACATCATGCATAATGAAACATTTTCTTCTCAGGGTCGGGACTTTCTATGGTGCAGAAGTTGAGTGAAAAGGGAGGTGTTTAGTCTGCTAACAAACAGAGGCAGCCTGGTGTTTTGCTTGCAAAGCCACAGTTTGAATTTGTGAATCCTTGCCACGTGTGGGCCAGACTCTGCAGTCTGCTCCTTGTCAAGGTTTACAGCAGCCATTAAGTATCTCCTATGAGGTCCCCTTCCTGAAATAGCTCTCTGGTTTGGAACTCTGGGTATGTTTGTGACAGAGCTGTATAAATGCCTTGCTGGCCTACAGCCAGCACAGAGGGTGCATGGCTCAGGCTGAGTCAGAGCACAGTGTGTATCCTGGGTTTATTTCAGTGCTTGCAAACCCACACAGGGGGGTCAGGTTCTGACCTCTGATGTTGCCATTAAACTTTCTGCAGGCAGAGGGCACTCAGAACTGCCCCATCCACAGCCACCCTTTCTGTTTGTGTTCTCTTGTCTGCCTAGCATTTGACAATTAATTAGGCATGGTAATTACCTGCTTTAATTTCATGATTGCACATCCTATAATTACCCCTAATTCTGTAATAGGGAAGTTCATGTACACAAAGGCAGTGGATGATGGAGGTGACAAAGCTTGCCATATCTGCAGCTGCCATTGCTCACTGTGCCTGTTAGGCATGGCATCTCAGGACCACCCAGTGAGGCTGGACTCCGCCCCACTCTGCAGTGGAAGAAGCTGAGTTACAGAGTGAGGTCCCATCCTCAGTGTTACAGTGAGTGTATGGGGGAAACAGCTAAGATGAGGGCCCAGGCCTTTTCTGAGCACAGCTCTGTGCCCTGTGTGTCTGCCAACCTGCCTGATGTCCCACACACTTTGGGCTAACGAGGCTTGCGTTGTGCTTGGCAGGCATTTGACCTGGAATTTCCACCTGCCAAAACAAGCTTGTAGATCGTCAGTTCTCTTTCCCTGCCTAGCCTTCTCTCCCACATTGTGATGTGACCAGCTGCTCACTGAAACAGCTAATACTTGGCAGATGTGTTGATGCTGGTACTAGGCACCATCCTAAAGTCACTCAGTTCCCCCTACATCAGCACCACCCTCATTTACCAAACAGAAGAGCTGACCAAACTTACAAGAGGTAACACGGGGATTCAGATCCAGTGTCTGGCCTCCTTCTCAAGACTGATCCAGCTGCACCTCACATATGTGTGGGACAGTGTCTTGGGGACAGTCCCAACCCAGACATCTAGGTCCTTGAGTTGAGGACAGGAAGAAGGCATAGCTTTCTGACACACAATCACTCAGGCCCTGTATTCCAATTGATTTTTGCCTGTGTCTGCTGTGTGCAACCATTACTCTGATGGAAATGCAGGATGCTTCAGCACCATTTTTTGTGCTCAGGTTGGAGGCCTTGCTTCTCCCTTAGCTCATGTCAGTGTTGGTCATGGGTTTATTCATAGTAGCATTAGTTTTGCCTCATTTAGATCTGCGCACCCAAAGGAGGCAGGCACAAGAGCATCGAACTAGAAATACCCTAAATGCCAGTCCCTGCAGAGCAGGTAAATACTGGTGGCATGTTACTACAGTGGAATGTTGTGCAGCATGTCAAGGCACCAGTTAAAGGGCATATAGCACTGTGGGTGCATCTAGCATATATTATCTGAGAAGGACAAGACATGGTGGATGGTATAACCACGACTCCATTTATATGAAGTTCATGAAAGAAGAAAAGGAGAGAGTGCACAGCATTGCAGAGTGGTGCTGACAAATGAGAGGCATAAGGGAACCTATGGGTACCCTTCAGACCACGTTTTTAAAGTCAGCATGTCTTCATTGTACAGAGGGACATCTAGACTGATCCCTTAAGTTGGCTGTGGGAAATAGTGTCCTGATAAACTGGAGTACTGTGTGCTGACTTTGATTCTTTCAGATATGTCCTCATCTGGCTCATACATAGTTCTAGATGGACTTCTGAGGGGCCTACATACTGATTTCCATAGTGGCTGTAGCAGTCCGTTCTTGCTAGAAATGAGTAAGGCTCCTCCCTGTCCGCGTCTTTGCCAGCATTTGTTGTTTGTTCACTTAGTTGACAGCCACAGATTCTCTTAATCTCCTCCAGGCACAGTCCATGCAAGTGCATGTTCTAGACTGGCCAAGGCCCTAAGCCCCAGCTTCCCTTTGCCTCCATGTTCTGTGTAGGCCTTTCTGGGGTGAGTTCTGCAGTGAAGACATCTCAGGGTCTGTATTTTTCCTTCTGGCAATTAAGAGTGGACTCTGATGCTGACCCCAGCAGTACCCTCCTATTTTATTTCCTTCTGTGGGGTCAAGGAAATGAGTGGCTTTATCTCTTGTTTAGAAAGAAACTTGGTTGTGTTCAAAGATTGGCTTTTCATCTCACCAAGGAATTATTGTTTTCATGGCTCAAGCTGAGGAAAGTGGGGCCAGTCAAACTTAATTTAAAGGACAAGCCCTTTAAAACAAACTAATTAATTAAATGAATGAATAAATAAATGAATGAATGATCCTACAGTTTTCAGCATGTGTACTTTTAGTTCTGTGGTATAGAATTCATGAGTGAATATTTTGCATCTTAGGGTTCCTAGGGTTGGATGCCAAGCAAGTTGTTGGGGACTGGCTGTTAGTAATCTGGGAATGGGAGGGGGAGTGGGAGGGTACGAGGAGAGGAGGGGGAGCAGGGGAGTGGGTCAGTGTTGATGGCATTTGATTTTATCAGATTAGATCCTTAGATATGAGGGAAGAAGTCTAAGTGAGAAGGTGAAATCAGGGGGATTTTCTGGAAAGAAGAACACTTGGAGGTCACCTTAAATGCTCAGGAAAGGGTAAAGAGAGGCACCTCTCCCTGTTGCCATACTGCTGGTTTGAGGTTGCAGAGGCCCTTGTGAGTGCCAGCCCTTGCAGTAGAATGCTGGCGTAGGAAACATGGACACTGGGGAGAAGATAGCTCTGGCTCAAAATCATTTCCCCATTTTCCGGGGCAAGTGACATTGAGTCTCTGAGTCTGTGTCTTTATCTGCAGAGGATGTGTTCCCACCATCTGCCTTGCAGCTTAGCCTGGGGATAAGAAGAGAGGTATGCCTGGTATAATGCCCAGCGCGTGACAGGTGCTGAATCCTGAAGGTCTTGCATTTAGTTGGAGTTTGTTATTTTTGTTCAACCTTGGGCCCCCACTTGCTGAGTTCACAGAGGCTCATTTCCTTTTAGAGTGGGAGTCACAGAGCTGGGAGCACCATCCACAGCTGTGTGAGGTGATGGGGTGAGCTTATCGTGGGTGATCCATGGAGCCTTGGCACTCTTCGTTCCCCTGGCAATGAGTGGCCTCCAGGTATAGCAGCTGTGGGCACCAGCAAAGGCAGGAGTGTGGACATGCTGCACACAACAGGAGCCCTCTGCTCCTGGAGACTGCTCCCAGCTTGACCTGGCAACTTACAGGCAATAGAGCATGAGAGACAATGGCATCAAGGATGTTGTCTTTACTCTTGAAGATGAATCAGCAACCTAGGAGAAAGAGGTTCAGACTTAGGTGATAGGGGCTGGCTTCAGATTTAGGCACATGTTTACAGAACGTGAGGATGCACACCTGGGCCTGCAGCTCGTGTCTGAAGTCTGCACTAGAGATAGATTGGAGAGTCCTGGGTAGAAACACAGGGTCTGTAGGACTGAGTGTGGCTGCCTGGAGGGGAGGGAGGGGGAGAAGTCAAGCCTTTTTGTAGAAGGCTCAGGAAGAGCAGGGGAATGGTCTTGCTTCCACTGAATAAAAAGAGAGTTGGCTTCAAAATGTGTTTTCTCAAGATTGCAGTCAGACTGTCACTCTAAGTACAGAGGATGGTCTCCATTGGTCTGTACAGAGTTCTTGAGGATGTAGGAACCCTTGTCTTTTGTGAGGTACAATAGTCATTACTCAGAGACTTTACCCTCCCTATGATTCTTGGGTGGAATGATGTTTTAAAACATTTAGTTGGAGCTTGTTATTATTACTGGGCTCAGTGACACACACCTTTAGTACTAGCACACAGCAGACAGCAGTAGGATCTTTGTGAGTTTAAGGCTAGCCTGCTCTATACAGTAAGTCCCAAGCCAACCAAGTATACATACGGAGACCTTTCTAACAAAGAAAAAAAGGCCTCGCATTTCTCAGATTTCCTTGCCAAGTAGCTGTGTGTCCGGGAAGGTGTGTGTCCTGAACACACAAACCACAGCAGGATCTTGAACATGGTCCCAACCTGGCTAAGGTAAAGTTATGTCCCCAAATGTGCTTATACCACCTGGATGTGACCTTCTATTCTGTCAAGGCCTTCAGCAGCCTAGAAAATCTTGGCCTCACTCCCCTTTGCCCCAAATCAGCTTCCCTACTGTGTGCTGGTCAGTGTGACCCCAGGCCTTTGGGACTTGAAGGACTGGTGTCATTGGGCAGCTTGTAAGGGCAGCTCACATGTGAACAGGAGGATGCATCTTTGCTGTCACTCAGGCTGCTGGGGACATACTGTGAGCTGGGCTCTTCTGACACTTGCCTCACTGAGTACCCTTTGTGCCCATTGGTGCCATCAGTGCCACCATTCTATGACAAGTGCTCAGTGTCCAGTGGTGTGTGAGGCAGATGTGGCCCCTGTGTGGACAGAGTGACACAGCACCTGATCTTGTGAGGATGACATTAGGAGCTTAGACTCAGCCATCTTCCTCTCTTCCTCATTGGCAGGTCTACATTCGGATAAAGGATGACGAGTGGAACGTGTATCGGAGGTACACAGAGTTCCGGGGGCTGCACCACCAGCTGCAGAGTGCGTTCCCACAAGTAAGGGCCTACAACTTCCCACCCAAAAAGGCCATCGGAAACAAGGTATGCATCCAGGAGCCAGATCATCGCTGCCACTGTTGTCTGTCCTTAAAGAATGTGCACACCACAGGAAAGCTGCAATGTTGGGGAAAACAGAGAAAGTAGCCAGCCATGAGCTGCACCTAAGGGAAGGCCAGTCTTCCTATGGGTGTGCCTCCCTACTTCACTAGGATAACTTCCTATGAGCAGCAGAGAACCAGTGTGCTTGGCCTAGTGGGGCTGCTCCCTTCCAGTAGGAAGCACTCAGCATTGCTGTGTTTTATGAATGCATCAGAGACAATTTGGATGCAGGCAGGCTCGGCTGTGGCCTTTAAATAATATTTTTAAAAAACAGGTCAATAAGAGGGCCCAGTGGGTAAAAGTGCTTGCTGTGCAAGCCTGTCACACTGAGTTTAGATCTTGGAACTCAGGGTAAGGTAAGGGAGGTTTTTCTGACTTCCACATGTGCATGCGCGTGCGCTCACACACACACACACACACACACACACACACACACATAATTTATAAAATTTTTTAAAAGTTCTGAGAGGGTCTGGAGAGCTGTCTCAGTCATATCAGTGTTTGCCATACAAGCGTGAGGACCCAAGTTCAACTTCTCAGCATCTACACAGAAAGGTGACATACACCTGTAATCCCAGCACTAGGCTAGCTAAATGGCTAGCCAGCCTAGCTTATTGGCTAGCTCTTGGTCAATAATTGACCCTATATCAGAAATCTAGGTAGACTCAAGGTTATGTTCTGATGTCCACATACACATACACATGTGTGCACACATACCTACACACACACACAAACCAGAATAAGTTGGAATCTTACTGATCATACTTGCTAACTGCTGTTCTGGTGTAATATTTTTTCCCTAGTTTCAATCACTGCTGTCATAGTACTCATTCACATGCATGAAGAGACCAGACTTTCTCAGAGAAGTTTCTTTTACTACGGCTACTTCAGTCATGAAGGTGGGATGGCCTCTGTTGAAAACATGCTACTATTTAGTCAGGTGCAAAAGGCCAGGGGAGATGGAAGAAGGCAGACCCAAGTCTGGACTGGGCATGAAGCTGCTCAGTCAGCTGTCCCAGCAGTTGGCCATCAACACCTCCTGTTAGTGAGAGGAAACCTTTTCCCTATCTTGTCTGCACTTTGGGCTGTTGCGGGATCTTGAAACCCACTGTGCCCACAGCCATTACCAGGTCTTCTATCTGGAGCAACAGCTGGGCACTAAAGGGTCACTGGCTCTTTGGATGGTCCGTTAAGAATCAGGTGGAGGGAGGCGTGTATACAACCACAGCCAGTCATATGTGACAGTTCAGGACCCTTTGAGGACCTGAAAGCAACTGGGGATGATGTCAGCAGGGACCCTCTATAGGACTGGGTGGCAGCATGGGCTACCAGCCAGAGTCACTGTATTCTCGGTTCTTGGTCCTCATATAAAGACAGTAGCCACCTTATTCTGACCCTTCATCTGTTACATCCTCATGTCTTCTCTGATTCAAACCCATCCTCCTCTTGTGATGACAGTGGACCCATCCAGAAAATCTTCAGTGGTCTCCCAACTCAAGATCCTTAAGTTAATCACATCTGCCAAGGCCATTTGCCATGAAAGGTTCTAGGAAATAGCTCAGCCTACCACACACTTATGTCACTAAGAGCATTCTCTGAGGCTGAAGCAGCTCCTTCATGCCTGCTTCCCCAGCTGCTCCCTCCCCATTTTATAAGCCTCCTCTGGGCTAAGTCTACCAGGAGTGCCAGACCCATGAGCCAAATTCAGCAAGCATCGCTCAGGACTGAGGAATGAAAAGAACGGCTGGCAACCCAGGTGTGTGTGGAGCAGGGACTGGGAGTGGGCTTCCTCGTTGCAGCGGCCTCTGTGTCTGCACTGGGCCACCCATGCTCTCTCCATGCGGCATCCCACTCCTGCCAATGCAGGGACTTTCTTGCTGATTTGTGCATAAACTTGAGGATGAGGGACAACACTTTGTATAGCCTGGCTCAGGGTAGACCAGACCAGACCAGCTGGGTGCTGACCAGGTGTCCAGACCAGTTTCCTGTAGACACAATGGACCCGACAGCCACCAGCCACAGCCTCATCCTAGCGTGCACTTGGGCATTTCTCAATGGCTGGAGGACAGTGATCCTGACCTCACATGAGGTTGAGGCATTCATACTTTCCCTTCAGTCCACTTTGGCTAAAGACCAGGATGGATTTGGACAATTTCTTCAATTTCCAAGAGAAGACTGAGTCAGGGTATAGAACTGTCAGTGCCCACCAGGCTAAGCTTTTGTGGATTCCTGTGGACCCAGGACCTTAGAATCTGCTTTGGTGTCCTGAAAAGTTTGAATATGTAAATTTTCCAGAAAAGTCACCATGTTAGGATCTTTTCTTTGATCAGTGTATTCCAAAGGTCTGTTTGGACCGCTTGTCTGTTTGGACCATAAAGGAGAAGCCATACACAACATCTTTGAAGTGACTGAGTCATGAACACCCATGAGCCTTGGCTGTTAACTGACTCAGTCCTGAGTTGACTGGCATGAGCTCCATTCAGGGATTAGGCTATTTAGACTTTTTCGTGCATCACATGAGCGTCCATGTTCTTCCACACAGTGCCGTCACTGATGACAGTGATGATGGTGACTGTGAGGCAGTGCGTCTCAGCAGGAAGTCCCCAACTGAGTTCTGAACAGCAGAAAACTTGCTGGTTGGCTGGAGGCGGCTTTTTCTGCTGGGTGGGTTTTTCAGGATGTGCTAGAGGCCGGACAGACTAGGCCATGTATGTGGCCAGCTGACTACCTGAATGCCTTTGCAGGCTCTGGGCTTGGGCAGGGACTCAGTTACTTATTCTGTCACTGTTCAGTGAATGAATACATAGTAAGACGGTGGTGCTGCTGAGTGGGGTATGTTCCCCTTCTGAACTCGCCCTAGAGAGAAGTGTGAAAGTGGAACTGGTAGCCTTTCTTGAGGCTAAAGAACACACCCCTGTACTGGGTGTGTCCCAGATTATGGGATGTTGTGCTAGGTTCTGGGAGACTAAGATTCTCAATCTTCATTCAGAAAAGCAAACAGGATAGACATCTGAAGAAGGTGAAAGCAAGGAACAAGACAGGAGCCTACCACAGAGGGCCTCTGAAAGACTCTACCCTGCAGAATATCAAAGCAGATTCTGAGACTCATCGCCAAACTTTGGGCAGAGTGCAGGGAATCTTATGAAAGAAGGGGGAGATACAAATACCTGGAGGGGACAGGAGCTCCACAAAGAGACCAACAGAACAAAAAAATCTGGGCCTAGGGGTCTTTTCTAAGAGTGATACTCCAACCAACCAAGGACCATTTATAGAGATAACCTAGAACCCCTCTACAGATGTAGCCCGTGGCATCTCAGTCTCCAAGTGGGAGACAAGTCACCTGTTAGCTCATTCTGTTATGCATGCATTCGTGCTGCAGACCCTGCAAGTTAAGAATAGCGGTAGGAGAGAGGAATGGGAATGGGAGCAGGCAAGGTGGATTGGGTAGTGGGAGAGAAAGGAAGAAAACCAGGGGAAGATTCTTTGGTTTTCCTAGATATCTTGCCTTGGACAAGTTACTTGACCCCTCTGTGCCTATTTTCTCCAAGAACCAGAGACAGACTTCTAGTGTTGTTTTTGTGAAGCTCAAAGGTGGTGACATTTGTAAAGTGCTTTGAGAATGTCTAGTAGTGCTCACTGTCTGGTTCCTGTCTGTTTTGTTTTGTTTTGTTTTTTAAGGAAGTGTGAAGTGGGGTGGGGGGTGGGGTACTCAGAAATTATTTCTTTTTGCTAGTGACACTGAGACTTTGGGCCTACGCACTGCAGAAGCCTGGCACAGGTGGCCCTGCTATCATCCCTGAACCCTGGTATCCCATGCCAAGCTTGCCGTACACATCTGTGGCTTTCTATTAGTTTTCTCAATGTACACTCCCCGTGGGCCCTATATAGGGTGTATATAGGCCAGGAAGCTGGAACTCAGGGGCACATGGGGGACAGAGATAGGAGTGGGGCTCCCTCTTCCACAGGCTCTGTACCAGTCCATCTCTTCACCCAACACAGGAGCTGTGCCCCTTAGGTGTCTGTGTGGAGCTAAGGTACCTGGGGGCTCCCACTGTGCACATAACCCAGAGGTGACAGAGAGGGCACCTGCACAGAAAGATGTGGTGGTGAGACTCCCAACATTCGAAGAACTGGGGAGTAAAAGGAGCCATGTCGAGACAAAGCCAGAAACAGCTCTGCTTGTTTTCCCTCCATGCAGGCCTGGTGCTTCCTGTACTAGGCAAGGGCAGAGAGGAGCTGGGTTTCTCTTGAATCAGTACATGGCACTGAAGGGAGTCTCTAGTAGATAGTCATTTTGCCAGGAAAGCCATCTCAGGACAGTGACAGACATGAGCTCAGCCTTGAAGTGGAGGAAGTGGGGCTTCTTGGGGAGAGACTTTTTAATATCAAATTTAACACAGTCATTTACAAAGAACGAGCAATGTGGGTGCCACACATCCCATGCCTGCTGCCTGTGGCACAGAGAGAGGGTGAACTCAAGGCTGCCCTGGCTGTCACATATTCTGGCCTGTAATACCTCCAGAGGAAGCCTTGTCTGATCTCATGGGTTTCTTTCCCATGCTCCATACCAGCTGTCCGATGTACAGTTCTCTGTCTTGTGGCACCATGGACAGCAAAGGCTGACTTTGGTGGTCAGAGCAAGCATAGAGCATGAATGAGCATGAACAAGCCCATGACAAGTCCTCAGTTCAAGCAGCAGAGGTCGGTATGTGGTGGCTGTTTTGTTCGTCAGCTTCCTTTCTCTGGTTTCTTTCATTTGATTGACAGATGCTAGCATAGATGTGCAGATAGTGGTCGTTGAAAGAGATGGTTGATTCCCCTGTGGTACTGATCTGCCCACTGTCCTCCAAACATTGGAAAGCTAATGTTCGTAGAATGTCCAATGTCTTCAGCAGGTGTAGTCCCAGCATTCTGGAGGCTGAGTCTGGAGGATGCTGAGTTTG